AATGACATAAGTATTCCTCCTAGAGAATGGTGCATGACCCTGGGAATGTGCTGGGCATATGCAACGCCCCAGATTTCCCCCCTCAAAGTGGAGGGACTAAAAAGGAACATATGGGCTCCAGGAAAGAAGGATATTAATGTTTACCTTCAAGCAGGTATTTTTTTCATCCTGAGGTGAAGGATCCTGAATGTGTTTTGTTCCCTCATGCACCAGTTCAGTACTAACCACCTGCCATATAGAAGTACAGCAGTTTGCCAAAATCACGCTCATCCCCAGATGTGGAATTTGAAGGTTTTCAGTAGTGGAGAACATTTTTTTTTTTCTGGTACCCAGTGAAGCAACATTACACCATCATGCACCCAGACCAGGCTTGCTCCCTGTTTGTAGAACGTATACAGCCATGAGGTTTGTACAAGGCAGGGTCTCCTAGATGTTGCAAATAAGAGCAAAGATACAAGTGATTCAGCTTTCAATGCTMTGTGAATTTTAATAGTTCTGGGGATTCAAAACTGTGTGATCAGGCAGATAGAAAGGCTCTTCTGTGCTGAACTTTTCACAAAAAGTGTTTTGTAAAATGTAAGCAATATTTGGCAAAATGCCCTGCAGCTGAGGCTTGTCAGATGGTCTTCAGAGAAGATTTACATGCCATGTGTTGCAATGACCATCATTTGCACACCCATTGCTTACCATTTGTGTGATGACTCTATTACTACCTTATGTACTCTTGTTTGTACCATACTTAATTTTAGCTATTTAATAGTACACTCATAAGCAGAAGTTTATTTCTGTATCTTCTTTTAAGTTCATGATTCTTAATATAAATGAGCATGTAAAAATAGAATAATTTAGGTTGGAATGAACCTCTGGAAATCATCTAGTCCAAATTCCTTTCAAAGCCAGAGCAACTATGTGGTGTTGCTCATGGGTTTGTGCCAGTGAAGTTTTGAATATTTCCAAGGGTGGAGAGTCCACAGCTTTTCTGGGCACCTATGCCAGTATTTGACACACCTCATAGAGAAAAAGCTTTTCTTTCTATTAAGTCAGAGTTTCCTATGCTGTAACTTGTGTCTGTTGCTACTTGTCCTAACACTATGCACCTCCAGGAAAAGTCTGATGCTGCCGTTGCCGTATTCTCCCATTAGGAAGCCGAAGACAGCAATAGGTTTCCCACCCAGCCTTCTCGTCTTGACACTGAAGAAATTGMAGTTGCTCTGAGTACACCTTGTACATCACAAGCTGCAGGCTATGACCATCTTGACGGACCTCTCTGCTGGACTTGCTTCTGTATCTTCCCATAGCGGGGAGTCCAAAACTGGGCATCGGACTCCAGGCATGTTTCCACAGATGGTAGGAGAAACACTTCCCTCAACCTGCTGGGTGTCTCCTACTAACACAGCCCACTGAGCTGTGAGTGACCATCTTTGCCCCAGAGGTGCCCTACTGACTCTTGACTCTTGTTCATCGTGTTGTCCATGAACAGTCACTTTTTTGTGTTTTTTTTTTAGCCTTTGATGAACTTTATGAGACTCCTACCAGCTGTTTTTTATAGTCTGTTGAGGTCCTGATGAATAGTAGCCCTATCCTCCCTTCATGATAGTTGCACATCCCAGTCTGGCATTGCCCACAGACTTCCTTATTGAGAACCGTCTACCCTTCTTTAGTGAAGTTACTGTTCCCGATGAGATCTTAATTAACAGTACACATATCAACTTGATATATTTTTTTTAAGTGCTTTGAGTAAATAATTAGCAAGACTGTAAAATGTTTTATGATGTATTCCTGGCTTCTTCAAGAATTCACCCTCACAAGGAAATAGTTTGTTTTATTCATTAGCTCTGGATGATGCTTGCTAATATAATGTAATTCCAGTTCAATTATATATATATATATATATTTTTAATAATCAGTATTTCTTATCATGTTAAGAAACATTTATTTTGACTTTTAAACTTAACCCTGAATCTGTACCCGTGCTTCTGAGTTTTTTTTCTAGATAAGTTCACCCACAACATGTTTAGATTATCTGCTTCCATGGAGCTCTCCTATCATTCTGCCATCAAGTCATTTTAAATATCTGGCTTACAGACATTTATCATAAGAAGGACTCAGGTAGGCTATGTACACTATGTTTGGAATTAGGCTGTGAATCTCTCATCAAATCTCTCACAGAGAACTGAATTGAGGAGAAACATTCTTCCCATCCCATACAATGTAAGAGATTTTATAGAGCGAAAATCATAAACTTGTATTTGAAACAAGATTTAAAGGAAAACGATTTTAATCACTATTGGTAATATTTAAAATTTTGTTTCAGTTTCAGCTATTTGCAGTAACTTTAAGTTTCTCAATGAACGTTTAGTCCAAGTAAGGAGTGATTGTGACAGCTGGTCAGTTCTTAAGTAAAAATTTTGTTTTCACCATATTCTGAATCCAGCAATTAAAACTACTTTCTGACTGATTAGCAGCCCTCAGTTAAAAAAAAAAATCCTGAATGTGAAATCGTGTTTTGTCTTTCATGAAAATCTCATATCTAAAGCAACGGGAGCTGTACTTTCTTTTATTTTTCTTTTATAACACTACAGTGGGTGGATATATCCCCTTGTGTGTGTGTGCTACAGGAAGAAACAAAACGTCTTTGTTTTCCTGCTGTTAGTAATAGCATAAAAGTTTTTAAGAGGTTAAGGCTTCTAATCTAGTTAAACAGAGCAGTATAGTTTTATTTTCATTTGGCTAGTACAGTACCTTTAAGATGATGATCATTAAACACTTGATTGCTTAATCAAGTGCTTAAATTCTTGAAAACTTTTGTGTTTTCACWGATTTTTATTGTCACCTGAAACTTTGTTCAGCCTGTAGTTCCCAATATCCATTCTAAAAAGATCTCATGTATCTATACATTTGCCTGTCTTACTATACTTCATGTTTCTTGGCCTTCCCTGTGTTCACTGCAGTCTCCTCCTCAGTAAACAAGCCTCTAATTATTTTTTTGCTAGTGGTCTGTTTTGCTGTATCTGTACCCAGATTTGTTATTTCTGATATTGTTTTCTAGGTAATCTTGGCCCAATATGATTTTGCTGAGGTGTTTATGTGGACACTGGTGGCCTTGCAAGAGTCTTCTCCTCCAAAGGTCCCCAACCACCATCTCAATAGCTGTGAAGTTCTGCCATTTATCATATAGGTTCCTCTTTAACCACGTGAGACACAGCCATCCATTACAGCCTTATCTGTAACTTTTGTCAGCTTCTCACATCTGTTGTGTCCAGCCATTTCTCATGTCATGTTCAGTAGTCTCTCACATGCTGTTCAGTGAGCATAACCCCAGGAGCAAGCCCAGCACCCTAATCAGTGCTCTAGTCATCTGCTCCAGCAGATATAAGACATAGAGTCACTCTTCCWGTGACGTCTGCTCCTTTCTTAGACTGCTAGCTTAGTTTAACTGTGTTTTAATGTAACTTTTTATTTAATGGCAAAAAGAAAGAACAAACATATACAGGCATATTCTGTTCATGGTACAGGGTGGGATGACTGCTGATTTATGTATTARAAAGGACTGAATGAGAAAACAGGAGGACCACTTCTGTTGCACCAGTAAATAATCAGCATTGCCTTTGGCATAATCCTAGAGCTTTCCTCTACACAGTGATGGTTTTAGCTGTCATGGCCTGGACATTCAGGGAACATAACAACACCATAGATTTGTAAGACTTTCAATACTTTCTCACCTTTCAGTGCCTGAATGGAGCACTGGTAACACTCCATTCAATTGAAAAACTTTACAAATCTAAAAAATAAAACAGGAAAAATGACATATTGGTGCAGCAATAGAATTAGTTGGGTATTGATTTCTGTAATTCCGTGGTTATAGGTTTCTGATGGGAGGAGACTTGAGGTGGGTTTGTATAATCCGTAAGGAAGGGGTATAACATTGCACTAGAAGTGCTACATCCATTCTCTAGGTACTGGGTCCATTTATAAAAGTAGGGATTGGGAACCTTATCCCAGAGGAGTCAGAGTTATTGCATGCAAACTAATATGGTGAAGTTCTTTTGAATTAGGTATCAGAAAACAATATATTACCCYCTGATCAAAGTAGTAGCCCCCCAGTTTTCTTCAGCTCACTGGAAGATCACTAGAAATCAGCAATCAGCAAAGCAGCCATAGATGGAGAAATATCCATCTAATATTCACTTTTTTTTTTTTTTTCTAGATGTCATAGATTAAAGTTTCTAAGGAKATTTTCTATGTTATCCTTACATTTAGCCATTGGCTTATAGCAGAGATGCAGATAGTGTTAAATGCAGCAAATTTGTTCAGGTAAGTACAGTAGAGTAGTTGCTTTTATACAATCAAGAGGTAAGGCTTTGAAATTCAGTCTTCCTCAACAGCTTTTTGGGCAGACAAATCAGTGTAGGTGCATCTACGTCAATGAAAAAAAAATGCAGTACATAGCTCTTATGTTGAGGCCAAGATTTATTTCTAACCATCAAGCATGATCCTGAAATGAAGAAAGAAATCTAGCTCATGAACACCCCACAGCCCAGATACTGAGACATTCACAACCACTTAGAACAAAGATCAGGAATGAGACCAAACCTGACCATGGTGAATATACTCATGTTTTTCCCACTACTAATATTAGTTTTTAATTAATTAATTTTCCACTAATTAACATTATCTCCCCCTCTTATTATACAGGGTTATTATACAGGGTTCTGAAAGAACATGCCTTCTTTGAAGCCCTTTTATTAACCATCATCCCCAAAAACCTATTTGAAGGTGTGTAAGTATTTGAGATCAGAACTGCTGTGCTCTAGAGCAATTGGAACTTGTTTTATTTTTTTAGGGGAGGGGAGGAATAAAGTGAGTTTTATGACACAGTTAGTCGATGAAACCCTGATGCAGCTGCAGATTAGAGGTCTGCACCAAAGCCTAAGCCAGATGTCAGTGCTATTAGGCAACCTCTGATGACTCCAGTGAAGTTAAAAGATCTCCTGAAGCTTCCTTGTTTAGTCCAGGCAYTTCATATGCAAGGCAATTAACAAATGAAGATTCATTAGGTTAAGACAGAATATCACGTATTTCAGAAAACTTCAGAAAAAAAAGCGTTTCCTATGTTTTCTGTGCCTTTCATCTCCAGTTGCCCTTATTGTAGTTTGTTTTGAACCAGTGTTGAGTAGAGAAGATCCTTGAGGTGTAGCACGTGCAGTGATTCTGCTGTGTTTCCATCCTTGCCTTGAACCAGGCTTGTTCACTCACAGCTCTCCTGCAGCCTCGGTTCCCCTTGTTGCACAGTCTGGGACACATGCCTGGTCTCCACAGAAGAATCTTCTAATCCCCTAGTTGGGCAGTGAAAGGTTTTATTTAGTTCCAGTAGAGACTGAGTGGAGGTCGCCTTCACAAGGCTCTGCAAAGACCCATCGCTACTTGAATCATTCAGTATTGAGGCTACCAGAGATTTTTAAAAAATCATTTGCTGGGCAGTGTTCACTTTCCGTGCCTTTCACCCAGCTCCCTGCCAAAGCTGGCTAAACAGAGCTTATGTGTCATTTTCAGACAAAAAGATTAYGTTTCTGCAGCTCTGATGCCCTCTTTCTGAAATTCAGTTCATTCCCACCAGAAGTTCATCTGGGGAATCACTGAGGTCTCATTGTTTCTTCTAGGGGCAGCAGACTAGAGAGAGTTTGTAGACTAGTTTGGTTACCCAGCACCAGCAAGTCCTCTTTATTTGTATAACCTATTGCTCCAGGGAAGGCAGCAGATCCGCTGTACTCAAGCAGTTATTYGTTAGTGCAGTATGTGATCTCTGTGAATGCTGAAAGATGTAGTAGCACTACTCTAGTAGTAATTTTAATGGTACTTACTTGACAGTAGAGAACACAGAAGCGAGGAAGCCAGAAAGCAGAAGGAACAGAAAAACACTCAGGATTGATGTAATGACAATCATGCCTCCACTCCTTCGACCAGGCCAGGTGTCAATTTTCATGGGAAGTTTAACTAGAAAAGCGTGAAAAGGACATTCCTGTCATCTACTTTTGACCAGTACACTGTCAGCAAAAAGTGGCTAGCGATCTAGGAGAGGCAAAATGATTCTGCCTCTAGCTGAAGTCTTAGGTGAGCTACAGGAAACAGGCTTGATGCTCAGTGCCAGCATGAGAGGGGCTAAGRTTGTCTCAGCAGACTATCCAGTAGGACTAGCGCCCTTATCACACAAGTTTCAGAAGAGCAGGGTACCATGACACGTATCGAGTCTCTATTAAAACGTACAAACCTCATCTATGCTGAAAGAATTACTGTTCTCAAAGTCATAGAAGAAACAGAACATTATTCCACATTTAAGTCAGTCGTTCTCATGCTGAAAAGCTGACAAAATTGTTTAAACAGGGGGAAAGGACTAGACATTGCTCCCCAGGAGCAAGTGCTCAGAATACCCRACCAAAGCCACAAACTTACCTCGTCTGGTTCTGATAGGATCAGACCAGAGAGTCTGGTCTTTCACGATACCGTCAGTGTTATCTACTAATGTATATTTAAATCTGTGAGRCAAAGAAATACATATATATAAATATGATTATTTCAAATTTGAGCTTCCTTCCTAGGATTTTGTAAACTCCTGTATTAGCTCTYTGGTCTTTAGTCAAAGATCGTCGAAGGTGACTGGTTATTTCCAAAGACATTATAAAGAACAGAATATGATTAATCATAGAAAAAGCTTTCTGTACTATGTCATGTGTAGTTTGCACTTCATTCTTGAGGCCAGGCAAATAACTTTCCAACAACAGTTTTTCCCAGCTTGCTATTCCCTGTTGTAAAGAGATTCATTAGCTAGGACAGCAAGTGGTTTTGATTTCCACATGGAAGTCAAAGATTTCATCCAACAATAGAGATCTTTGGCACTTTCCTGGTAGAGGAAAGCAGCGGGGAGACAGACTAGCATCAGAWTTGGCAAAGAAAGCAAGTTTCCATTCCATAATAGTCTGACTTTTCAGAAATGTCCTGAAGAGATAGAAAAGCCAGGACAGTTTCTGCCAAATTATGCTGATAGCATTCTGTTTCAGAAGTGTATTAGGTCTTCCCAAGAGACATAACTATTTAATTGCCTTTTTTTTTACTGTGGCTTTTAAATGAAGGACAGCAGCATAAGCAGCATTTCAGGGTCCCCAGCTTCCCCAGGCAACAGGGCTCACATAAGTCGGCCCCCACCTGGCCCCACTCCAGCCACATCAGGGGCTCCCTGGAGCCCCTGGGGATCACGGGGCACTTGAGCCCCCCCAGAAGCTCACCAAAATAAAGCAATTTTAGATAATTTCAGCATCATTGCCTGAGCAAACTCTTTTCTACCTCACTTTCTGATCAGGTGCTGGATCACCTCGTGCGACAGAAATACGGGTTCAGCACTTTGCACATGAATTGTCTCAGCACTGTGAATTCAGCCCCACAGAGCTCACCATTGCAAGACAAGCTCTAGAGAGGACTTTGCCGTAGAGCCCTTCATGCTCTGGCCTGGTGACTTGAATCCTACCATTTCAGAAGAACATTACGAACTCAATTTTGCCTCCTGCTGCCTTTTAAGAGGAGTAATCGCCTCGGGAGGAAGCCGGATCGTACCTGTACGTTGTATCTGGCGCGAGAGGCGGGTTACAGACCTCTCGGAAGTTGGGGTCATGCAGGCAGGTCCCATCACCCCCGACTCTGACGAGGCGCCGCTTCAGGACATCGGCCACCTTGTTGACATCGCCGGCGTCTGCAGGGTTTGGGGGCGCCGCGCAGTTGGGCACCCCGAACACGGCAGCCCTGTAGGGTCCCAGGYGGCCCCCGCTCGTCTGCTGGACCGTGCTGTTGAGCGGCCTTCCCCCTTGGGCAGTCACCAGGGAGCTTCCTGCGCTGGCTGCAGGGGACACACTTGTCAGCAAGGCTCTTAGTTCCAGGTCGTTCCTTCACATGCACCCAGTATTTACTTGGTGACTTTCTCTTCTACTCTAAAATACCCAAGTTACCCGTCTGGTTGAGTAGGGATCCCTTTGGCCCTGTGAAGACTCCACGGCGTATCTCAGAGCAGTGCTTTCCGCTAAATACACTCGCCAAATTCCCTTTTTCCAAGAAGATGCTGATGGAGGTGGGTGAGCCCATAAAGACACAAGGTGCAAAGAAGTGAGCATAGCGTTTACCATTCTTCATAAGATGWTTTAAAAAAAAGGAGAAAGCTTGAAAACCACAGCTCCTTTCCTCAACCTCATCTGGCCTTCCAGAGGACCGCACCGCCCTTCTCTACTTCAGAACATGGCTGAGGAAGCTGCTGCTCAGAGCCGCAGTTGGCTCACAGGAAGGTAACAATCCCGTGTCAGAAAGAGCAGCTAAGATTCATTTTGCTCGTTTATCTCAYGGTCCAAAGTATTGAACCAGCTCTGGTAGGGCTGCCACACTTCTAGAAAAGCCACAGACATTATTTTCCACCCAACTACAGCCTCTTGCCACAAGGACGGCCCGATGGGTTAGGTGTTTACGTCGGTGACCACGTGCAGACCTCCACCTTGCTCCCTGCAGCTGCCTAGGCGATGAATGTGGGCAGGGGAGACCTGTCCAAATTCATTGCAGGGAAGTGGCCCTCCCAGACCGAGTATATTTTGAGAGCCCCCTCCAGCTGTTTGGTGCTGCTAACAGTGGAGGAACACCAGGTTTTGCAAAGCTGGATTGTGGAGGGAACGACTTCATTTTGGAAGCACTTTTGTTATGCTCCTGGAGCAGACTTGCAACTGCTTGGGCATGAGAAGCTTTTTTTTGGGATCCAATACAAACTGAAAACTGTTTTGGAAGAGAGAAGTTTCTTGCAGTTTAGAAACCTAACTTTATAGTGAGTGCTCTAGTTAAGCCCTTCCRCTGAAAAGGAGCCAATAAGAAGAAAGTGAGTACTAGCAAAGACCTAATCATCAACTTGTTACCTCAAATTACACTCTCACTGACATCTATTCCCTGTCATAGTCACCCCTTCAGGAACTCCAGTGCTGGTGTCTCAGCAAGGTAGACTTTTTCTTTCTTTCTTTTTTTTTTTTTTTTTCAAACCTGAGCGTATTGAATAGTGGCACTAATAAAAATAGATGCAAAGATTATATTACCCCCAGATTTGTTAGACTCTTGGCTTGATACTGCACTGAGGAATTTTCCTTCCAGCASACCTGAATACCATGTGTTTAGAAAATCTAGACTCTTAAGCTTTCCCTCTCCCTGCTGCAAGACACATCCAAAGGGGTGTCAACATGCTGCTTTCCAGACCTGAGACAAATCCRAACAAAATTCCTCCCAATTTTCCAAGTAACAAGTTTGCATCTGCTTGTTTTAAAAGCAGCAGCAGAGGTTTCTCCATGCATAACCCTAAGAAGAGATTCATCCATCAGCGTAAGAAGCTTTCATCACAGAAATGTGGCTGATGCCTTTTCTAAGATAGAACATCAAACAGCAGAGTTGTGTATTTGCAGTTATAACTAGATACCAGGTCAGTGTAGCCTTTTGAGTAGTTCCAATGCACTCGCTGTGCAAAGGTGCATACATCACTTGGGGAAAGTGTCTTGGAAGGCAGTACACTCACAGTTGAGGTAGCTGGGTCTAACTGCGTATCTGGTTATAGTTTCTCCCATTATGATCAAGAATGGGAGAAATCCCATCTTTTCCAGAAGGGCAACAACCCAGCAGTGAGATTTTTAGACATTTTTCTCTGCTGCTAACTTATTGCTGGCCAGATCTCTCTCCTCCTGCCATGAATTCCCTGCTGCTTGCCTCTCTGAAAAGGAGGCTGTGTATGTTACCTTCCTGCCTGAAGCTGCTCTGTCACTTATAGCTGTCAGGTTGRGGGCAGCTCTAGCTGGCATTCAGAACAGCCTGCCAGAATAGCAGGGAGCAGAGAAGGCAGCTCTTGGTCGCTGCCAGCGATATTTCATGACCCAGCAGTTAGGAAGCTCATTATGTGAATGAATCCACAGGCCAGGCATCCCTGAGCACAAGTCCAGCATGTCTTCTGTCCTTACAAATGCTGGCTGCCCTTGAAGTCTGCACATGTAACTGGGAAGCACATAGCAGCAGTTACCCAGCTTCTCTTGCCAGCTTTCCTTTGTGGTATTTAGACTCCTATGCAAGGCATTTACGTGGAGATAAGGATCAGGTATCATGCTGTGRACCACTTGGCTTCACTAGCAAGATTTTACTAGGCTGCTTAGAGCTGATGGGGGTGCCCCACATCTACAGAGAGTGAGCGAACACAGCACTCACGCGTGTTCTTTTCTGGTCAGCCCCACTGAAATGCTACAGTTACTTTATAAGAGCTTAGAGCAAGTTGAGACCAATGCTCAGCTTGCATGCAGTTGGCAGCTGTGTGTCTTGTCCTCTCTCCCATTCAGACACGGTTCCATCAAATTTGGAAGAACTGCATTAGAAGCTGCGTAATGCTCTGGAGAGGAAACAATGCTGGATACTCACCTGACTCCATCATTGCATACAAGTAGATGCTGTAAGATTTATTTGGACTTAGGGAGCTGTCAAATGTACAGAAAGGTTTCTCTAGAGCAACTGTAGTAAGGGTGGGATTGCTCGTGGCAAGCTGCGGGGCTGCAAGCTGAGGTCCAGCAAGCTGAGGGCTCAGGCTCTGATCTAGAAGATAAAGTTACCAAAAAATGCATGAGTCTTTCACCCTCTGCAAGCTCGGACTCTAAAGGGAAGGTAGACATTGCAAGAAGCAACACTAAAACCAAAGAGCAAGATATGAAATGCAGYTGTTGGGCAAGCAGCGTAGCTGTCCTGTGGAAGCTGGAGAGGTGCTGGGTTTGCTGTAATGCAAACTGGGGAACATAGACATTTGGAGAAGGAGGTGAGAGCTGTTGCTGCTGCTCAGGAAAGCAGCAAGCACATTAGTCACGTCACCAGAGGTGGAGAAAGGCGAAGCCTCATCAAATGAGAGACTTGAAGCTGTGTCATTAGAGTCCCACATACACAGGCCACCTCCKAAACCGCCCAACATCAGCACCAGGAGCAGTGCAATTATTTATAAAATCCTGAAGCTACAAGAATTCTTAGCAGTTAAGTTTTAAAGACTTACTGAGCAGGAATAACAGATCTTACAGAAAGAAAAGCGGTCTAGGAGAGGCAATGGAGAGAGAAAAAGGCATTGAAAGAGGGTTTTGTGTTTCTCYACTCCCTCACCCTTGCCTCATCTCCAGACTCCTGGGAAGCTTAACTAACAACTGGAAGACAAAGAGATTATGAAGTTCTTCCTCCTTCCCAACCAATATGTAGCAGAGGCTCTTTAATGAGCTTTCAACAAGACACAGCACATCTTTGCAGCCCTGAACGCCCTTCTCAGCACAGGGCCTAAAACAGCACTGATGTGCAAAACGAACCAGAAAAAAAAAAAAAAAAAAAAAAAAAAAAAAAAAAAAAAAAAAAAAAAAAAAAAAAAAAAAAAAAAAAGGAAGGAGAAAGCAACCACAGATAGAGAGCACTTACCTGCATATAGCTGCCCAAGGAAGCAAAAGGCTAAACCAACCCAATCGCCCCTCATGCTGAAGCCCAACCAAAGCCTAGCACAGCAAAGAGAAAAAGCCGTGGTGGGAGGCAGCCCCTGCCTCGAGCTCCCGCGTGCACTGCTGTGCTGAACCTTTCCTGCACCTTTCCACRGGCTCCCTGGGCTTGGGACCTGCCCCAGCCCTCAGCACCTCCCTCTTGCTTCTCCTCCCTCCTGCTCGGGTGACACCAAGCTCCAGTGTTTATCAGCTCCCRGGTAGGGGAGGAGGATGGTGGAGCTTCCATTTCCACTCAACGTGGACACCGGTTCCAGCTCTCAGCGATGCTATGGCTCTAAAGAGGACTTCTTGCCCCAGGTGGGCATCAGTTGATGGGTGACTTTGTGCCGTCTCCTTGTGTACGTTCTTCTGTCGGAAACCACTTTGGAAATCTCACGTGTAGGGGAAATTTGGGACTGAATATTGGAATCCTGCAACCCAGATACATCAGGGAAGGATCTGATTATCATGTGTTTCAGAGCTCTGAATCAGGGCAGTCAAACCAGAGGTCCCAGTTGCCTTCCTTGTCCAGTTGGATTTCTTGGGTTTCTGACCTGCTTCTGGTTACACTGGTGGGAAAAGGCAAACCATCCATGTCCACTTCCAAATTGAATTCTTCTATCGTGTGGAATTGCTCACCTGAGAATGCTCTTGACAGGTATTGCTGTTACAGATGGTTTTTTACATATAAACTCAKATTACAGAGCTACAAATCACCTGCTTAACATAGGCTGAGGAGGGAAAAAAAGTGTCAGATTTTAGAGAATTAATGGGGCAAACTTAATGCCATCATCACAGCTCCAGAGTTAGACTTAACATCACTGCAGTGCTGTTAATGCACCAAATCCATCTGTGGATATGCCATGGGCCCCTGAATCTGTTTGAAATATGTAATCAAATGATTGTAGTGTMATTTCCTCTCCATATGCATCTAATTTGCATCCATATGCACGTCAACTTTAGGGGGTTTGGTTTGACTTTTTTTCTCATACTGGTTTTTGCAGGAGAGTAACTATTGAATTCAGGAGTTATGCCAGACTTGCACTAGTACAAAATAAGGATAAGGGTTTTTTTTTTTAATCCCTTCTTGCTCTACACTGCGCTATAAGCCTGTGCTGATATAAATACTTGCCTAGAAAATCTGTTTTTTAACACTTGCACTAGGGGAGTTCTTTGTGCAGACTTGGTACTGACCCACACAAGAAGATATTTCTCCTTTAAGGCGTTACAAGCGATGCACAAGATCTGGAAGCTTCCCAACTTCTCAGTAACAGCACAGCTTAGGAACAGCAGGACCGCTCTCCCTGTGAGTCAGATCCATACTTTCTCCACACAGGGATTCCTGTAAAACTAGGTCCTGAATTCTCTTTACACAGGTCACCCTTACAGAGCATTCAACACTTTTGGGTTTTTTCCCCTTTTAACAAAAAATAGCCACATTATTTGCCTAATTTTCAAAAACAAACAAACAAACAAACAAACAAACAAAAGGGTATTAGAAAAAAAGAACAGTTCCATTTCACAGCACCCAAGTCATTTCCACATGTTACAGAATACTCTTCCAAGTTCTGAAGAGCAACACATAGCAACAAACAAGGATACTCGTTCCAAAAACCGACAAATGAAACCATAGCCTCATCCTATAAACTGCAGCCTGGAGAGAATCCTTTGTTATAGACTCATAGCCATCGAGTACTAAATTCAGTAGTTATTGCTCAAGCAAAACTCTGCATGACCTTGGAGTTTTGCCTGGATGAACACTATGGTAAACTGCTCCTTGGGCTCTAGTCCTGCAAACTGTTACTCATGTGATTAATTTTACTACTGTGAGAAGCATGTYGACAGAGTGGCTCATCACAGAACAGTTAATCACTTTTTTTTTTTCTTTACGTGGTTGCAGGACAGCAATTTCAGCTATTATTTTTCAGGAGCCTTTTTTATTTATTTATTAAGCCCGCGTGGATTAGTTGAGTGCAGGGCCAGCTCGCGCTCTACTGGAATTCAGCGGCTCCAGACGAGGGAGAAAATACCGCCTGCGTTGGGAGATTTTAACGTTGTTGGGTTTGTTCCACACTCAGAATGAGTCCCAAAGAAAGGTAGCAAAATAGCATGACAACAGGCGCTCTCAGCTCCATCTGTGCTGACAGATGTGCCCTAAATTAGGAGCAGGATCCATCCTTGCTCACCCTAGTGCAAGTTCCAAATTCCAAGTCCAAATGAGCCCCGCTGAAGCCGCGAGAGCCGCTCCGCGTTTGCAGGACGTTGCTGTGAACAAACCTTAACCTCTACTCAGCCCTGTGAGAGCGTTCCCGAAAGCAAGTGCAGGAGGGGAAATTAAGGTGAGGTCCTCAGAGAACCCATGTGCCTGTTGAAGCAACAACACCAGTTTTCCGGCTCTAGGTGACACTTGCAAGCACCACTCCGTGTGGAGAACATTGTTTTTCAATAAGGAGATCCAAAAAATACAGATAATGGTGGGGACAGGTACCAGCCAAGATGCAGAGTGATCCAAAGGGTGGAAAAGACCAAAAAAAAAAAAAAAAAAAAAAAAAACCCCACAGAATCTATTTTAAAATACCTTGGCAATGCTCTCTGCTTTTCTACATAGCTGTTATTAGTTTGCACTTTCCTGCAGGCATTCTGGTGGATGGAGACCTTGGGCAAGGAGGTGAATGAGGAAAGGAGTAGCAGATTGGTGAGTCAATCTTAAAACAGCATTCCAAAAAATACAGGTGATATGGAAGAGATCTGCAGAGATGGTTAAAAAAAAAGTCAAAAAAGCACGTGATGGAGGCATGGGGTAATGGCAAAGAGCTGACCCTGGCACAAAATGGAGAGGTGCAGAGATGTGGCATTGTCTCAAGTCTTGAAAGTGAGAAGTTGGCATGAAAAAGAACAGAAAAGAGAAAAAGAGGGAAAATCCTTTTTATTTGGGGAGAAGATTTCTCACGGAAGCAGTGGGTGAAGTACCCTGTGATGGCTTCRCTTCTCCGCATCTTAAAGAGAGTAGGAGATTTCACCTCTGACGAGCTGGGTTGCACCAGTGGGCACACGGATTCCTGGAAGCTCTGAGTCATTCTGGAATGTCTTGCAAGTGCCTGTGGCTTCCTAGAAAAGCATTTCTGTGCTCTGTTGCTTCCATGGGGGACGTTCACYTCTCATCTGAAAAGCTGCTTGTTTTCTGAGGCTGTCTTCCTTTCTTCCAATCGTTTTCTGGGACTCTCTTCCTTTTTTTCCCCTAATAAAATCCCTTAGCCTGTACAGATTATGAATCTGGGAAAGAGCTCTGCAAAACACTTTGTTCAAAAGGGTCGGATGGGATGGGGATAAGCCCAATCCTGCATTCTCCCAGCACAAGGATGGACCTATGAGCTGAGTGGGGGTCCCATCTGTGCAGAGATCTGAKCAGTGTGTCTCACTGATGTGCTTAAAGTAGAAATCTTTCGTGTGTCCATAAGGAAATGTGAAAGCTCGGTTATTGGGATGGGATCTTGGAATTCTTTTTGTCATCTGGTGACAATTAATTTTGTGCAAACCTGAAAGCTGCAGCAGCGGCAGGAAGGGAAAAGGCACTTTATACGTAAGAAATCAGAGTTGCTCCATTCTCTAACACTGGCACAGCTCCATGGAAGTGAATTTCTTGCAAACAGAGGAACTGGTCCTGCTTGCATTCCACTCCAAAGTCACGTCCAAGCTCTTAGCACCGCCGTAAACCCCAAACTATCTCAAAGCACTGAAACATCTGTGGCCTGGAGTAGCCAAAGGTTACAATGAAAGGTCCTTTTGTTATGCTGAAGTTATTGTTTTCTTTGCTGAGGAAACGTCCTGCAATCTACAGCTATCTGCTTGAACTTTTCTTTCATACTGCTAAGAAGCACCAAGAAATATTTTTATTTGTGAGAGTCCCAGGCTTACGTGACTGTATAGATGTCCCTGATGATAAAGTACAAGCACCTTTCTCTGCTGCCATCTTCTCAGACTGCCCCTGGACAGATCATTTGTCCTGGACAAGTCGATAGATCAGTCCCCTATTCCTTCATTTATGAAATAAGGATAGCAATTTCCTGCTTTAGTGAATCTTTTATTGATGGAGGAGCTTGTTCTGAACCTCAGTTGCAACTAGGAGTCCCATTGGTGTAAAGGAGGGCAAGAGAGAAGTCATCTGGGGTACTTCAAAGTGCCTTGCTAATTGCATGTTATATCTATGGCCAAAGTAATAAGGGTTTTGATGAAGAAGTAATCAAAAGTGCTGAGGGATGGGGTTCATCTTCCCGGCCCATGGCCTGGCTGCGTTCCCCAGGCTGCAGTTTCCTTTGCTGCCTTCTTGCAAGAAGGCTTCCTAACCTGCTCGCCCAGGCCGTGTGGGCACAGCGTGGGTCAACGCGACGCCCCTGGCCGTGGCCGTGCGAGGAGGCCTCTCGSGGCAGAAGGAGAGTCTGCAGCCCCCCTGGCCTCCTGCTCTTCACCCAAATATTCAGGCACAGCCTTTTAAACTGAATTTTACCAGGTAAATAAAATCCACTTATCTTTCTGATTTTGCAAGTAGGACTGAATTTTAGTGCTGCAACTTCATTGATACTTGAAGGTCACTGCAGAGGAATCTGTGTGTAAAGGCTAAAGAGTAGAGTCTTTCCCCCTGTAAGTTTTTACTAGAACTAGGAATCCTGCTGAGGCAAGAGCCCTGAGCGTCCACTTCGTGGGGCCAGTTCGGCGCACTTGAGACTCGGCTGAAATTTGGTGCAACGACTGTGGCTTTGTACAAATGTGAAGTACACCCCAACGAGGCTCTGGCACTCATCAGCAAGCCAAATTCGACTGCAGTCAGACCAGTAGAAAAGTTCTGTAGCAAAACGGCCTCTAGAGGATCTTAAAGGTCTTTTCCAAACAAAATAATTCTATGATTCTAAAATATGGTAATTTAAATAAAAAATGCATTCTCTTAGGACTTCCTTTACCCACTAAACTGTAAGCCCACTTGGTTCTTTATTGTGCCGAGAAG